TCTTAAGCAGGAAATGTGGCTACTTTGACAGACCATGGCTCCAAAACAAACATGCAGGTCTAAGTTATCACATAATTTGGATGTGAATTCAACAGCAGGATAACGAAATGACAGTTGCCAAGGATTTGTACTTGCTGTCTCTTCATACTAGTGTTGCCTGTCAAAATGTCTCTTTTTCTTATACAGAAGCCATAGAATTTTTGTGGATAGCAATTACTTACAATATGAAATGAAGTACATCAGATCTAACAACTACTCTTTAGCCCTTCATTATTTGGTAGTCTCTTTGTTAAATGTAGTCAACCATTTTCATCTAAATTATTTATTTATACTGTATATCTGACAAGCATATATTTCTTGCTTTAAATTCTTATGGCATTTAAACCTTCCTGAAGAGTTTCTTTTAATATTATCATTTGTAAAACTTATCTTTATTATAGTACCATTTTAATGGTAATTAAGCTCTCAAATTGAAATATATACAAATAAAATATAAACATAAAGCGAAATGACCATAAATATGTTCAATAATGAACCACTAGTTTAAAATACTGGAATACAATCAATAAAAGAAATAACCCTACTTATGTTTGGTGAATGCAAGCTTTTATAAAATTTCTTAAGCCCACAAAGCACAAAGATTTTATTAAACTTCATCCTGCCCTTTCTCCAACTTGCTTAAACTTCCAAAGATACAAATAACTTTCTCCAATTGCTAGATTCTCTGATAAAATACAATTTAAACATCATAGAAAATGAGTAATAAAAGTAAAAAATTCCCCACAAGTTTTACTTCCAATTCCAGAAGAAAATGCAATTCTAATTTGGCCTAAAAATGTTTATAAGGGTTTTTCCAACTGCGGAGCAATTTCAGGATATTTTATAACACATAACAAATTTTTACTTGCAACTCAATGACTGAATAATAACCAAAATGTTATGTTCAAACTACATATATACTACATAGAAGATATTCAATAAGTGTTTGTTAAGTTAAACTTGTTTACTTTTGCAGAAGAAAAACTTCTAAAGAAGAAGAACAATTTCCAAAATTCATAAAGACACATCTGAGCACAGCATCAGGGGCATAAATCATTCCACCCAAAGGAAAAAAAAGTTTTTTTACTTGTATAAAAGTACACAGGAATAAAAATAAGGCATATGTGAAATTTAAAACTGAGGGTTTATAAATATTATATACAACTTTTCCAGAAGAAAATTTTCAAAAAGAAACAATGATCTAGTCTTTTAAGATTTTATAAAGAAAATATTATATTTATATGGAGATCTGCAGAAATATTTTTAAAGGCTTGAAGGAAAAATTCTGGAAAAAGATTATGAACTGGAGAAAGTATAATTTGTTGGGTAGTAGCAGGAGTCTAAAACAGTGAAGGTGTTAGCATGCTTCATTCACTATTGTTTCCTCTCATTCCCGTCTGCCACTCATTCCATGGTGGGAATCGACAGTTCATTTTTGGAATGATGAAGTTGCTAAACTTAAACTGTCCATAGAAAAGGCAATTGATCTAAATGTTTATATTTCAAAAATGATCTAAGATTCATTCCAAGTAAAAAGTACCCAAGATAAATGACTTAAACAGTGACTGAATAGATTAGGTATCTGTTAGTATCCTTGAAAGCAAGATTTGCTTGTGAAAAAGTAGCTTTGATAATGTACAACAACAACAAAAATGGTTAGTATTTACTTTTTAAAAACTGATTTCAGTTCTCATTTAATTTACTAAAAGTAATTTTCCTCCTCAGGGAATTGTAAGAGTTGGTAATGCTTTATATTTCCGATAAATGCTGTAGTGTTAGATCCATTTGAGTTCATGCCATACCTTCTTTACTACTACTGAGCTGCCAGCAGGATAAAAAATACTGTAACTTCCCATTATAAAAATCATTAAATCACATCCCTTAGATGATCATTGGCTGAAAATCATTAAAACAACATATTTTACATGTGAGATGGAAAAATTTACTAATCGTTTACAACATTCTCCTAATGCAAAAATGCAATCGTAATTTGGAGATCTTCCACTTCAGCATTTGGAGCGCTGGATATGAACATGGTGAAACTATGCCTGGATACCTGTTACTAAAAAATAACTGATTTTGTCATCCATGTCTCCAAGACTATTTCCCGATTCTGGGTCACCTGGGAATGCATCAGACTACAGCTGAGCAGGAAAAGTTTACTATTGTGCTACTTTCCTGGAAGGAGCCACAGAAATGAGGCAATATTTTTTTTATTCACATGACCTCCAAATGGTGAGTCAAAAATGAGAGGATGAAACCTCTGACATAATAAGCTGAAAACATTTATAATGTTGGTGTTAGTTTTCTTGTGAGGGGGCATGTCCTGGCACAGAGGTTTTCACTCTGTTATAAGTAAATGCAGCATGGAGTGACAGCAGAGGAAACACATGGAAAGGAAGAACAGAGGGAAGGAGAGTGGATAATGTAAATATAACGAAAAGCAAACTGATAGTATCAGATAATAACAAGAAAATAAAGTGGTCACTGTATGGCTACTTTGAATGGACTTAATATATATACATATATATGTAGGCATATTTTGTAAAAAGTACAATGTATTAATTAATGAAGAAAGCACAATCTCTGTAATACAAGTAGGAAAAATAAATTGACTATATTTTAATGATTACTTCTCATAAAAAGACCACAAAGATGGTAGAAGAAAGGTGGCAAGGAAAACAAGAATGAGACAAAAGAAGTTTTAACCTCAATCAGGAGGTAAATGTCCTTACTCATAGAGAAAATTGCCTCTCTCTGATAATCATATTAATACCAATGACTCTTAAATTACCATTAGCCTTTATGAACTTGACCCCTTTCAGGTTGAAACTCATCACTTTCTTTTTCATGAAGGTAAAAGACCTCTGAGCATTGTCTACAGCTTTCCATTTGATTGCCAAGAAGAGGGTTACTTCATTTTCTTGGTTTATCATAATCAAAGTTGATGGTAACAGGCAATAGTGACAGAAAAGAAGTTAGGATTCAAACAAAGAAACAAAAGAAGCACAATGAAACAGAAACTATAAAAAACAGGCAGTAGGAAAGTGTCACATGAGAAGAAAGACTGACATATAATGAAAAGGACAAATAAAGCCAGGGTTAAACTGACTAACAATCAAAGAAAGCAAATAGGAAAAAAGCAGGAACAGACTGAATAAGTGAAAACACATTTAGCTTTACCAGAAAAAAATAAAGTAGCTAAAAATGCACAAAAGTAGTTAGAATAAAAAGTGAATGTATCACCATTTTGAAGTAGCAAATTGGAAATAAATAAATATTAAAGGCAATAAAAATATGTGCAAGTACACATGATATTAGAATTGGCATTTGTATAAAGGAACATTTAATCCTATTTAGAATTCTTTTTCTAATAAGTCATGAGTGACTTATGTCCCTAAAATAACACACAGGGTATTCATTTTTTTTTAAAGTTGCATTGTATAAAGGATCTCATACACTACTAATATGCACTTATAGCTGAGAGGAATAAAGCAAAACAAATTAGCTGAAAGTCAAGGTTTCACTTTCATCTTAACCTAGTGACACACACACACAAATAAGCAAACACTCAAACTGATCTAGGAAATAAATATGATCTAGGATTTCCATAAGAAGATTAACATAATCCTTAATTTATAATGTATTGATTTTCTTACAGTCTCAGTTTTCTACTTAACATAAAGACTATGGCATCACACTTAGCCAGCCAATAGTTTATCAATGTATGACAAATACCTTTTAGTTCTTTCACTTTCTAACAGAGAAAAGCACAGGAAGAATACCCCTGTCTCCTCTGCTTTATATTTCTGATAAATGCTGCAGTGTTAGATCCATTTGAATTCATATCATACCTTCTTTACTACTACTTACTAGTTGTGTGAGCTTAGTCAAGTTAATCAACCTCTCTCTGCCTTTGTTTCCTCATAGGTAAAACAAAGGTAATGAGACTACCGTCTGTCTTATATTCCTCCTAGGGGTTTTTGTTTTGTTTTGTTTTGGTTTGTTTTGGTTTGTTTTTTAGACAGAGTTTCACTCTTTTTGCCCAGGCTGGAGTGCAATGGCGTGATCTTGGCTGACCGCAACCTCCAACTCCTGGGTTCAAGAGATTCTCCTGCCTCAGCCTCCCAAGTAACTGGGATTACGAGCATACGCCACCAAGCCCTGCTATTTTTTTGTATTTTTAGTAGAGACGGGGTTTCACCATGTTGGTCAGGCTGGTCTCAAACTCCCGACTTCAGGTGATCTGCCCACCTTGGCCTCCCAAAGTGCTGGGATTACAAGCGTGAGCAACCGCACCTGGCCTCTAGAATTGTTTTCAGAACAAAATTGATATAATGCAGGTTAAGTGCTAAGCATAGTGACTGGCACTTAACAAGTACTACCTGCCATTATTGTTATTATTGTTATGCTACCTGTTCAAGTCAGATCCCAGAGATAATTTACGTTTACTGCATCATGTACATTTTTTCTTCCCATAAAGTAGAAAAAAGGAAGGGCTCTACTCTAAGCAACAACCTCCATAACTTAACACATCTCAAAGTTACTTATTTATATCAACTGTACTCAATTTTTTTTTTTTTTTTTTTTGAGACAGAGTCTCGCTCTGTCGCCCAGGCTAGAGTCAAGTGGCATGATCTCACCTCACTGCAACCTCCACTTCCTAGGATCAAGCGATTCTCCTGCCTCTGCCTCCCCAGTAACTGAGATTACAGGTGCTCATGATCATGTGTGGCTAATTTTTTTGTATTTTTAGTAGAGATGGGGTTTCACCATGTTGGCCAGGCTGGTCTCGAACTCCTGACCTCAAGTAATCCACCTGTCTAGGCCTCCCAAAGTGCTGGGATTACAGGCATGAGCCACCTTGCCCAGCCAAGACTGATTGAACATTTAAACTATTTTCTAGAAACAATTTTATCCTCTTCAGTATTTAGTTTAAGCTGCTTAAATAATGTTCTTACCTTGGTAAATCGTTCAAAATATATTTGTAAATTGGGTTTACAGTATTCTCATCCAAGGTGTCTTCAGGACTACTTTGCTGTAATACTTCCATTGTTTTAGTCAAGGGGGATAAGGAAGACTGAGATAGTGCTTCTCTGTGATCTTCTGCTCCTATTTTTGTCATTTTCAGCTAAAAATGATAAAGAATGTTATTTAATTTTAAATGTAAAAGTCTACTAGATTACAAGTAGAGGCTGGGTATTAACTACAACTTACTTGTCATCATGTTATTCTAGACCATATAGCAATTATTAAATGTGAAATTCCCTTAGAAATTAACAGATGAGAGCCTAAAGAAAGAAAAAAAATATGAATCTAAGTCTATAATTGGTATAATACTGTTTAAGAATGAAAAAAATGGGCCGGGCGCAGTGGCTCACACCTGTAATCCCAGCATTTTGGGAGGCCAAGGCGGGCGGATCACGAGGTTAGGAGATAGAGACCATCCTGGATAACACGGCAAAACCCTGTCTCTACTAAAAATACAAAAAAAAAAATTAGCCGGGTGCGGTAGTGGGTGCCTGTAGTCCCAGCTACTCAGGAGGCTGAGGCAGAAGAATGGCGTGAACCCAGGAGGTGGAACTTGCAGGCATCGTGCCACTGCACTCCAGCCTGGTCAACAGAGCGAGACTCTGTCTCAAAAAACAAAACAAAACAAAACAAAACAACAAAAAAACAGAAAAGAAAAAAAATGCTGGTTTGTTGCAAAGCATTTTAATTTTTGCTATTTTCTGAAAAACTGCTTATATAAGCAAAATTGTATGTGAAATATGTTACTGAAAAAGCACACCACAAGGCTTTTCCTTTCTTTCTTTCTTTTTTTTTTTTTTTGTCTGTCCTTCATCCCTCTTTTTCAGAACTGATTCTGATGGGTCTGTCAATTATGTGGCCTTGCCTTCAAGGCGTGGAAATGAATATCTACAAGGCTAGCCAATCAAAACGCCCTATTCTTCCACATACAGAGATTGGTAAATCAGAGTCCTGATGAAGAAAGCAAGCAGAGCACCATTCTCCTGGATTGCTAGCTTTAAGAAAAATGCAAACCTCCCCCATTGAGATGAAGCCGAAAGACATGAAAGCAGACATAAGAGGTGGAAAGAGACAGAAGGTGAGATTCCTGGTGATGACATTTGAATCCCTAAAACCAGCTATTAAAAACAACCACCTCTTTAGTTTACTATGTACATGAGCCAACAATTTTCTTTCTTTGCTTAAGCTAGTTTGAGTTGGGATTTTCTATTTTTTTTTTTTTTTTTATTACACTTTAAGTTCCAGGGTACACATGCACAATGTGTGGGTTTGTTACATACATATACATGTGCCATGTTGGTTTGCTGTACCCATTAACTTGTCATTTACATTGGGTATTTCTCCTAATGCTATCCTACCCCCTGTCCCACACCCCATGACAGGCCCTGGGGTGTGATGTTCCCTGCCCTGTGTCCAAGTGTTTTCATTGTTCAGTTCCCAACTATGAGTGAGAACATGCGGTGTTTGGTTTTCTGCTGTTGTGAGAGTTTGCTCAGAATGATGGTTTCCAGCTTCATTCATATCCCTGCAAAGGACATGAACTCATCCTTTTTTATGGCTGCATAGTATTCCATGGTGTATATGTGCCACATTTTCTTAATCCAGTATATCACTGATGGACATTTGGGTTGGTCCCAAGTCTTTGCTATTGTGAATAGTGCCACAATAAACATACGTATGCATTTGTCTTTATAGCAGCATGATTTATAATTCTTATAACCAGTAACAGGATCGCTGGGTCAAATGGCATTTCTAGTTCTAGATCCTTGAGGAATCGCCACACTGTCTTCCACAATGGTTGAACCAGTTTACACTCCCACCAGCAGTGTAAATGCGTTCCTGTTTCTCCACATCCTCTCCAGCACCTGTTGTTTTCTGACTTTTTAATGATTGCCATTCTAACTGGTGTGAGATGGTATCTCATTGTGGTTTTGATTTGCATTTCTCTGATAACCAGTGATAATAAGCATTTTTTCATGTGTCTGTTGACTGTATAAATGTCTTCTTTTGAGAGGTGTCTGCTCATACTCTATGCCCACTTTTGGTGGGGTTGTTTCATTCTTATAAATTTGTTTAAGTTCTTTGTAGATTCTGGATATTAGCCCTTTGTCAGATGGGTAGATTGCAAAAATTTTCTCCCATTCTGTAGGTTGCCTGTTCACTCTGATGGTAGCTTTTTTTTGCTGTGCAGAAGTTCTTTAGTTTACTTAGATCCCACTTGTCAATTTTGACTTTTGTTGCCATTGCTTTTCATGTTTTAGTCATGAAGTACTTGCCCATGCCTATGTCCGGAATGGTATTGCCTAGGTTTTCTTCTAGGGTTTTATGGTTTTAGGTCTAACATTTAAGTCTCTAATCCATCCTGAATTAATTTTTCTATAAGGTGCAAGAAAGGGATCCAGTTTCAGCTTTCTACTTATGGCTAGCCAGTTTTCCCAATACCATTTATTAAATAGGGAATCCTTTCCCCATTTCTTGTTTTTGTCAGATGTGTCAAAGAGCAGATGGCTGTAGATGTATGGTGTTATTTCTGAGGCCTCTGTTCTGTTCCATTGGTCTATATCTCTGTTTTGGTACCAGTACCATGCTGTTTTGGTTACTGTAGCCTTGTAGTATAGTTTGAAGTCAGGTAGCGTGATGCCTCCACCTTTGTTCTTTTGGCTTAGGATTGTCTAGGCAATGCGGGCTCTTTTTTCGTTCCATATGAACTTTAAAGTAGTTTTTTCCAATTCTGTGAAGAAACTCATTGGTAGCTTGATGGGGATGGCATTGAATCTATAAATTACCTTGGGCAGTATGGCCATTTTCACAATATTGATTCTTCCTATCCATGAGCATGGAATGTTCTTCCATTTGTTTGTGTCCTCTTTTATTTCATTGAGCAGTGGTTTGTAGTTCACCTTTAAGAGGTCCTTCACATCTCTTGTAAGTTGAATTCCTAGGTATTTTATTCTCTTTGTAGCAATTGTGAAGGGGAGTTCACTCACGATTTGGTTCTCTGTTTGTCTGTTATTGGTGTATAAAAATGCTTGTGATTTTTGCACATTGATTTTCTATGCTGAAACTTTGCTGAAGTTGCTTATCAGCTTAAGGAGATTTTGGGCTGAGATGATGGGGTTCTCTAAATATGCAATCATGTCATCTGCAAACAGGGACAATTTGACTTCCTCTTTTCCTAACTGAATACCCTTTATTTCTTTCTCTTGCCTGATTGCCCTGGCCAGAATTTCTAACACTTTGTTGAATATGAGTTGTGAGAGAGAGCATCCCTCTCTTGTGCCAGTTTTCAAAGGGAATGCTTCCAGTTTTTGCCCATTCAGTATAACATTGGCTGTGGGTTTGTCATAAATAGCACTTATTATTTTGAGATACATTCCATCAATACCTAGTTTATTGAGAGTTTTTAGCACAAAGGGCTGCTGAATTTTGTCAAAGGCCTTTTCTGCATCTATTGAGATAATCATGTGATTTTCGTTGTTGGTTCACTTTATACGATGGATTATGTTTATTGATTTGCATATGTTGAACGAGCCTTGCATTCCAGGAATGAAGCCGAGTGATCATGGTGGATAAGCTTTTTGATGTGCTACTGGATTTGGTTTGCCAGTATGTTATTGAGGATTTTCGTATCTATGTTCATCAGGGATATTTGTCTAAAATTCTCTTTTTTTGTTGTGTCTCTGTCAGATTTTGGTTTCAGGATGATGCTGGCCTCATAAAATGAGTTAGGGAGGATTCCCTCTTTTTCGGTTGATTGGAATAGTTTCAGAAGGAATGGTACCAGCTCCTCTTTGTACCTCTGGTAGAATTTGTCTGTGAATCCGTCTGGTCCTGAACTTTTTTTGGTTGGTGGACTATTAATTGTTGCCTTAATTTCAGAGCCTGCTATTGGTCTATTCGGATATTCAACTTCTTCCTAGTTTAGTCTTGGGAGGGTGAATGTGTCCAGGAATTTATCCATTTCTTCTTCAAGATTTTCTAGTTTATTTGCATAGAGGTGTTTATAGTATTCTCTGATGATAGTTTGTATTTCCGTGGGATCGGTGGTGATACCCCCTTTATCATTTTTTATTGCATCTATTTGATTCTTCTCTCTTTTCTTCATTATTATTGTTGAGAGGTGTCTGCTCATATTCTAGCAGTCTATCAATTTGGTTGATCTTTTCAAAAAAACAGCTCCCGGATTCACTGAATTTTTGAAGGTTTTTTTGTGTCTCTATCTCCAGATCTACTCTGATAATGGCTATTTCTTGCCTTCTGCTAGCTTTTGAATTTGTTTGCTCTTGCTTCTCTAGTTCTTTTAATTGTGATGTTAGGGTGTTGATTTTAGATCTTTCCTGCTTTCTTTTGTGGGCATTTAGTGCTATAAATTTCCCTCTACACACTGCTTTAAATGTATCCCAGAAATTCTGGTACGTTGTGTCTTTGTTCTTGTTGGTTTCAAAGAACATCTTTATTTCTGCCTTCATTTCATTATGTACCCAGTAGTCATTCAGGAGCAGGTTGTTCAGTTTCCATGTAATTGTGTGGTTTTGAGTGAGTTTCTTAATCCTGAGTTTTAATTTGATTGCACTGTGGTCTGAGAGACAGTTTGTTGTGATTTCTGTTCTTTTACATTTGCTGAGGAGGAGGAGTGCTTTTTACTTCCAACTATGTGGTCAATTTTGGAGTAAGTCCGATGTGGTGCTGAGAAGAATGTATATTCTGTTGATTTGGGGTGGAGAGTTCTGTAGATGTCTATTAGGTCTGCTTGGTGCAGAGCTGAGTTCAAATCCTGGATATCCTTTTTAACCTTCTGTCTCATTGATCTGTCTAATATCAACAGTGGGGTGTTAAAGTCTCCCATTATCATTGTGTGGGAGTCTAAGTCTCTTTGTAAGTCTCTAAGGACTTGCTTTATGAATCTCGGTGCTCCTGTAATGGGTGCACATATATTTAGGATAGTTAGGTCTTCTTGTTGAATTGATCCCTTTACCATTGTGTAATGGCCTCTTTGTCTCTTTTGATCTTTGTTGGTTTAAACTCTGTTTTATCAGAGACAAGGATTGTAACCCCTGCTTTTTTTGGCTTTCCATTTGCTTGGTAGATCTTCCTCAATCCCTTTATTTTGAGCCTATGTGTGTCTCTGCATGTGAGATGGGTCTCCTGAATACAGCACACTGATGGGTCTTGACTCTTTCTCCAATTTCCCAGTCTGTGTCTTTTAACTGGGGCATTTAGTCCATTTACATTTAAGGTTAATATTTTTATGTGTGAATTTGATCCTATCATTATGATGTTAGCTGGTTATTTTGCCCGTTAGTTGATGCAGTTTCTTCCTAGCATCGATGATCTTTACAATTTGGGGTTTTTGCAGTGGCTGGTACTGGTTGTTTTTTTCCATGTTTAGTGCTTCCTTCAGGAGCTCTTGTAAGGCAGGCCTGGTGGTGACAAAATCTCTCAGCATTCGCTTAACTGTAAAGGATTTTATTTCTCCTTCATTTACGAAGCTTAGTTTGGCTGGATATGAAATTTTGGGTTGAAAATTCTTTTCTTCAAGAATGTTGAATATTGGCCCCCACTCTCTTCTGGTTTGTAGAGTTTCTGCCAAGAGATCTGCTGTTAGTCTGATGGGCTTCCCTTTGTGGGTAACCTTTCTCTCTGGCTGCCCTTAACATTTTTTCCTTCATTTCCACCTTGGTGGATCTGACAATTATGTGTCTTGGGGTTGCTCTTCTTGAAGAGTATCTTGGTGGTGATCTCCGTATTTTCTTAATTTGAATGTTGGCCTGCATTGCTAGGTTGGGGAAGTTGTCCTGGATAATATCCTAAAGAGTGTTTTGCAACTTGGTTCCATTCTCCCTGTCACTTTCAGGTACACCAATCAAACATAGATTTGGTCTTGGACGTTTTGTTCTTTTCTTTTTACTCTTTTTTCTCTAAACTTCTCTTCTCACTTTATTTCATTAATTTGATCTTCAATGACCGATAACCTTTCTTCCACTTGATCGAATCGGCTACTGAAGCTTGTCCATGCGTCACATAGTTCCCGTGCCATGGTTTTCAGCTCCATCAGGTAGGTCATTTAAGGTTTCTCTACACTTTATTCTAGTTAGCCGTTCATTTAATCTTTTTTCAAGGTTTTTAGCTTCCTTGCAATGGGTTCGAACCTCCTCCTTTAGCTCAGAGAAGTTTGTTATTACCAACCTTCTGAAGCCTACTTCTGTCAGCTTGTCAAAGTCATTCTCTGTCCAGCTTTGTTCCATTGCTGGTGAGGAGCTGCAATCCTCTGGAGGAGAAGAGGTGCTCTGGTTTTTAGAATTTTCAGCTTTTCTGCTCTGGGTTCTCTCCATCTTTGTAGTTTTATCTACCTTTGGTCTTTGATGTTGGTGACCTACAGATGGGGTTTTGGTGTGGATGTCCTTTTTGTCGATGTTGATGCTATTCCTATTTGTTAGTTTTCCTTCTAACAGTCAGGTCCCTCAACTGAAGGTCTGTTGGAGGTTGCTGGAGGTCCACTCCAGACCCTGTTTGCCTGGGTATCACCAGCGGAGGCTGCAGAACATCAAATATTGCAGAATAGCAAAAACTGCTGCCTGATCCTTCCTCTGGAAACTTCATCCCAGAGGGGCACCCACCTGTATGAGGTGGCAGTCAGCCCCTACTGGGAGGTGTCTCCCAGTTAGGGTACACAGGGGTCAGGGACCCACTGAGGAGGCAGTCTGTCTGTTCTCCGAGCTCAAACACCATGCTGGGAGAACCACTGCTCTCTTCAGAGCTGTCAGACAGGGACGTTTAAGACTGCAGAAGCTTCTGCTGCCTTGTGGTCAGCTATGCCCTGCCCCGAGGGGGGGTCTAGAGGCAGTAGGCCTTGCTGAGCTGTGGTGGACTCTGCCCAGTTTGAGCTTCCCAGCTGCTTTGTTTACCTACCCAAGCCTCAGCAATGGCGGATGCTCCTCCCCCTGCCAGGCTACTGCCTCACAGGCTGACCTCAGACTGCTGCACTAGTAGTGTGCAAGGCTCCATGGGCATGGGACCCACTGAGCCAGGTGCGGGATATAATCTCCTGGTGTGTCGTTTACTAAGACCATTGGAAAAGCACAGTATTTGGGCTGGAGTGTCCTGTTTTTCCAGGTACCATCTGTCATGGCTTCCCTTGGCTAGGAAAGGGAAATCCCCCAACCCCTTGCACTTCCTGGGAGAAGCGATGCCCTGCCCTGCTTCAGCTCACCCTCCGTGGGCTGCACCTACTGTCCAACCAGTTCTAATGAGATGAACTAGGTACCTTAGGTGGAAATGCAGAAATCACCCGTCTTCTGTGTCAGTCACACTGGGAACTGCAGGCTGGAGCTGTTCCTATTTGGCCATCTTGGAATGGAATCTGGGATTTTCTTATTTGCAATCTAGAAATATTGAGTAACACACACAGACAATCTAATTTGACCAAAAGACCAAAACAATATGCCCATAAGAAATCATGTCAAAGAATCTTATTTACAGCAGCAGTCCCCAACCTTTTTGACACCAGGGACCGGTCTCATGGAAAACAATTTTTCTATAGACCCAAGGGTTGGAGACCTGTACCTGCAGGTTGGGGACCCTTGATCTATAGGATCCTTTCCAGGGTGTAATCATGGTCTCACAATACTGATTAAAATAGTTACAAAATCTCATCTCTGAAGTAGCCCACTAAGACAATGAAGAGGAGTCTCAAATTAAGATTACATGCCAGGCCTGAGGAAAATACATTACTTTTAAGGTAAATAAAATTACTTTTACTTTTTTAGTGTTGTTCTGAAATAAATGCTTTCATTCATTCACACATTATTCATCAATCACCTACAATGTATCTGACATTGTTCTAGGCACTTAAAATCAGTGAACGAAGCAGAAAAAGAACCATTGTGCCCTCTGCAGCTTACTTTCAAGTGGGAACAGATAATAAACAATAAACATCATAAATAAGCAAATTGTACAGATGTTAATAGGTAATAAATGCTACAGGGGAAAACTGATGAGGCAAAGGTAAATTGGCAATATGTGGGAGTGGAGGGAATTGTAACTTTAAATAGGGTTGTCAGCATAGGCCTCATAGAGCTGGTAGCATCTGGGCAAAGACATAAAAGAGGCAAGAAAGTTAGTCATGCAGATACCCAGGGAGACCCAGGAGGGCGTCTTAGGGCAGGCATCCAGAAGGTCCTAAAGTGGGATATATCTGGCAAGTGTGAAGAACAGCAAAAGTAGATGAATAGATGAACAAGGGAGAATGTAGTTGGGATGAGGTTAGAAAGGGAATGGAAGAGATGAACACAACACTGGACCTTGCAGGGCATTGTTAGGGCTTTGCAAGAACTAGTAAGCTCATAGAGTGTTTAGCAATATGATTTTTTTTAAAAAGATAATTTTTAATTCTTTGTTAAGAATGCACCAAATGCATTGAAATAACTGTATTGCAATGTCCTAATGTGTCCATATGTTAGTATTTTCTAATACTTACATAAACTTTGTGGCAGAGACTGCCAATTGTCTGCCAATATCCATTCCTTGTTCCTTTTACAAAACTAGAATCCCTGATTTTATTTGAGACATATGGTTTCCTAAAATAAAGACTGTATTTTTCAGTTTTCCTTGCAGCTGGGTAGGGCCATATGAACATGTTCTGGCCAATGACATGTTAGTGGAGATGGTCCATGAAAGTGAGTGTACCCTTCTTTATCCTTCCTTCTACTACCTAGAATGAAAACAATGGCTAGTCCTGGATTGGTCTTTAACTTTGATGAGATGCTGAAAATGAAAGCCAGGACTGAAGGAGGATTGAAGGAGTCTGAACCTCTGACAACATGGAGTACCATACCAACCCTGGACTACCTACCTCCAGACTTTTACATGAGAAATAAACACCTAGTTTTTTCAAAACAGTGTTAATTTGGGTCTTTGTTACTTGCAGTCAAACCTAATCCTGAAACACCTGACGTTCTCTTGACATAAATTGCTTTCAAGAACCTAAAATACATAGTATTTACTTAGAGTAAAGAAATAAGGAGAACACTAGAATGGCTTAAAATACAAATTTAACTCAGAGTCCAGTAATTTGGGACTTTGGCCCCTGCAGAATTGAAGAATTCAACTATTTATGTATCTCAAACTGAAACTATAAAAAGTAGCACTCTACAGTGATGGCTACAGAAGATGAGACTGTGGTTCTAAGCTTTTTAAAAACACTTTTCTTTAAGAATTCTTCATTGGTTGGGTGTGATGGATCACGCCTGTAATCTCAACACTTTGGTTGGCTGAGGAGGAAGGACTGCTTGAGTCCAGGAGTTTGAGACCACTCTGGAAAACACAGTGAGACCCCGACTCTACAAAAAATAACTTAACTGGGTATGATGGCACACACCTCTAGTCCTAGTTACTTGGGAGGCAAGAAGATTGCTTGAGCCCAGGAGATTGAGGCCGCAGTGAGCCATGATCATGCCACTGCACTCCAGCCTGGGTGAGAGTGAGACCCTGTCTCAATCAATCAATCAATAAAACTAGCCTAGCTGTCAAAGATCAGATTAAGGTTGTTGTTTTTCCATCCAAGCTTATTGTGTTAGAAGACCTCAAAGGAATCACCTTTATGTTGAAGCACAGAGTCAGGGAATAAAAAACCAGTACTCAGGCTTAAAACTAGTGCCTAGACATGATCTTTGGCTGTAAACATGGGATTATCTATAGACTGGAAGTCTACTAATTTAGGAGAAGAAGAAGAAGCAGTGTTAAATTGCTAAAGAAATCATAAAGCTGGCCAAAAAACATGACTGACCTGTAATCAAATCTCATGCCCACATTTGTATCAGCAGGAAGCGGGTTGCAAAATCTGTTCAGCACTCTAGAACAGCAAATTCTCCATTGACCACATCAGATGTGGTCAGGAAGTACAAGTACAAGGAAGACCCTTTCCAAAAGGCAGAATTAGGAGTACTCTGATGAACTAATCAAGGAAATTGCTCCACTGCTAGAGAAAGGAACTTTTACAATTCCTACCTAGCCTAGCAGAATTGATAACCACTATAAACCAGTGACTCTTGTGTCAATCCTATTCTCCTCCTTTCCAAATATACATCCATTGTGTTATGTGTGATGTCGCAAATGCATTAACTTTTAGTTTACAGGTTACCAGACCACTTGGAATTAATGAAAAGGACTGTGCATTAACCCAACAGCCTAGATTCTGAGTCATATTCAAATGAATCATATTTGGGGGTTCACATACATAATTAAAAGCTAGAACAGGCATGTATGATCAAGAATAGGTAGTTATGTTCTATCTACAGGAAGAAGGGTGTACCAAAGATTTTTGGTGGCTACAAGGTTGGATTATGGAGTAAACTGTTAGATGTTCACTAAAATCTGTTATCTTTAGTGTCCAGCTAAAGCCTTTTTTCCATCTACATGTTGCCACATGACCACATGACTAAATTCTGGTCAGCAGAAGGTAAGAGGAAGTGGCATATGTGACTTCTGGGAACTGTCACCAAAGAAGGGGGTGTGGGGCATGATTTTCAGCCTTCTTTTCTTCCTACCTGATATCTGGAATGTGATCATGGCTTAAAGCTGGAATAGCCATGAATGATCATGAATGTACCATCTGTGACTTTGGGAATGGAAGCTACTCACAGCACAGCAACAAAATGGAAGGCCTTAGAGCATTATACTAGCCCTTCAGACTTTTATATGAGTAAGAAATAAGCCTTTTTTTCTTACTCGTCCTCAATATAAACTTTACATTGTAAGTAAGAAATAAACTCTTATATGAGTAAGAAATAAACCTTTTTTTCTTACCTGTCCTCAATGTAAACTTTCTTAACATCTTGTACACGCTATTTATTTCCAGTTTCTAGACCTTTGCTCACACTGCTCCTATACTGTTGATGATTTAGAAAACAAGAAGCCAACTTAGTATAATGAAATAGACTTCTTTTTTTCCATTTCCCAAAGTTCATGTTTAAGTCAGTTGGTTGCCTGAAATTAAGAATGAGTTTTCCTATGTGCTATGGTCAGAATGTTTGTGGCCCCTCCACCCCCTGCCAAATTTCTAAGTTGAAATTTAATCCCCAATGTGATGTTATCATGAGGCAGGGCCTTCAGGGAGGCAATTAAGTCACAAGGGTGAACTCTTTTTACAATGCAAGGGCACATTATCAATAAGGAAGCAGGCACTCACCAGACACTGCTGGTGCCTTAGTCTTAGAAATACCAGCTTCCAAAACTGTGAGGAATAAATTTCTATTGTTTGTATATTATTCAGTCTAAGGTACCTTGTCATAGCAGCCCAGAGTGAGATACTATGGAAACAAATATATACATTGATCAGTTTCCTTGCTTCATTCAGTATATACTAGTAATACCTGAAGTAACTCTCCAATATTACAGTTAAAAAATATTTTATGAGAGCTGAGACTAGTCTATCCTGTTCACTTCGCATTCATAGTGCTTAATTCAGTGTCTAGGACATAGTAGGTATGCAATAAATATTTGTTAAAGAAATAAGGGAAATTGTACTTCAGATGCCAAGAACACATTTGTTCACATCAGCAACACTGTAATCACAGAAGAAAGGATTCCCTATAGAACTAAAGTAGATAGTTTTGACAAATTTCCAATGTTAATTCTATCTAACCTAGCCAAATAATTTATTATCCAAACTGGGCCTGTTCCAGGCAAATCAAGATGTCTAGGCTGCACCTATCTATATTTAAATAGCCTCCTTTTTAAATGAGAAGGTACTATCCTATGTCTCTATGGTTGCATATGTACCCATGGGACTCACCAAAGATTTACTGTTTGCTGCTTTTTAAAGAAGGCACCAAAAAGTCTCTGTTTTTATCTTGATGAAAATAATGTTTTACTCTTCAAGGAAGAACAAAAAGCATTTCCTCCTCACTAGCTCCACTCCCAGTGGTAAGTGGGATTTCCTACTTCAGAGGTCTGCTTTTCCTTTACCCAGGGATGATACACGGGACCTTATTGCATTTTTAAAATCTGTGCCTAAAAGGTCTTTAAGTTAAATTGCTGGATTTCCCAGGACATAAAAAAGATTGGCAATAATTCGTCTGGAGTAGATAAATCTACCCCAGCATAACTATTCTGGGGCAGTGAGATCTTGGGAAAAAATGAGTCTGTGGAGTATATGTGGTTCTGTGAGAGAGAAGGAGAGGAGCAGGAGGGAGGGAGGAAAGGAGAGGGAGAGGTGGATTTAAAGGGCCAGGTAACTGTAGCTGTGATCTGGGGGAACCAGTGATGGGTACTCTAATTGAGCACAATACTAAGAAATTGGGTTAGACACTGTGATGGTTAATTTTATGGGTCAACTTGGCAGGGCCATGGTGACCAGCTATTTGATCAACCATTGTTCTGGATG